CACGCCCCGGGGGCCTTGATGTGGACTTTTCCCCTGCATGGCCCCTGCCTGGGCAGTCCCCACAGAGGGGCTGCTGTCACCCATCCTCAGGGTCATGGGCAGACTCGAGGCCGCTCACCTGCATCCGTGCACCTGTCCTGGCCATCGAGATCATATTATTCCCTCTTGCTGTCTGGATGGGAGAAGGAGGGAGCCTGGTCTCTCTGCAGGGCCAGAGCCTTTTGGATCCCCGCCACCCCTGCACTGCAGCTGGGATATCTTCCTCACCTCCTGTAAACCCCCAGCTGGGAAGCCTGCCTAACTTTCCCAGTGCTGCTTTACCTGGCAGGCTGGGGAGACTGGGACATTGAGACAGGCCATTCCCAGCACCCCTCAGGGACCAGTTTCAGGACAGCCATCCCCATGAAAAGCCCTCCTCAGCAATGAGCAGTGGGCCTGGGTGAGCACAGGGACAGGTGAAATGCCAAGGGCATCTCCTGTGCCAAGGAGCATCTCCTCTCCAAGGGATGGGAGACCTGTCCTCTGCCGTCAGACAGCACTTGATGAGTTCCTTGAGCAACTGCTTGGAGTATTCCCTGTCACTGTTTTTTTTTTCCTGGATGCCATTGCAGCGCTGCCCTCCTTCCTGTACCTGCCTGCCCAGGAGCAGAGAGTGGGCTCCCTGGGGTGGCTGTCCCAGGCCAGGGTGCCCTCGCTGGCTGCCAGGAGCTCTGATTTGGCCCATCTGCCCAGCAATGGGTGCAGGGCTGGCCGGGGCCGGGCTGGCATGGGCGCTAGATGGAGCCACAGGCTGCCACAGAGGGACCCCATCCTGCTGGCTGGGAAGCTGGGGAGATGCCACCAGGACCTAGCCGTGTCTCAGCACCTTGCTTTCCTTTCCCTGGCTTTTGCAGCTGATGTGGGGACAAGGAGGCCCCAGAGCTGCCAGGTCTCAGCCCGCTCTGTGCCCACCAGGCGGGGAGGCCTCCGTGCCAGGGAAAGGAGAGGAACCCCCATGCTGGCTGGGACTCTGGAGCCAGGGGACCACATCGCCGCTGCCTTCATGGCACATGTGTCCCTCATCCACGAGGCCAGGATATGCAGTGAGAAGGACTTACACCTCCCTAATGTCCTTAGGGGAGGCTGTGTGGAGTTGAGCAGTAGCCCACCACAGCGCTGGGAGGAGAGAGGATGCTGTGCCAGCCACACCTTGCCCCAGAGCTGCCC